GAAAACAAAAACTAGGTTAGTATTTAAGGACAAGATTTTTGTTCTTCTTTTGTGGACTGTTCATAGAACTCTTCTAATCACAGAAATCAACTCGCTCATTGCGTTGACACTCTACTGAACATCCTTCTTGTCTGTATGTTTATCAGAATTTCAGCAAACTTATAACTCTAAAATTACTGTAAATGGGCACGCAGCCACACTCTCGAATCTACGAAGCTAATCTGGTTTACGAAAAAACTACAAAAGATATTGCAATTTTAATAGGAAACTTCCAAGAACTTCACAACCTTTCTCTATGGTCTACTGGATGGGATTACCTCATCCCAAAAACGGTCCAACCCAATAGCTCGGCTCTTTTCCTTTCAGCAAGCGCCATGAAACAAGGAAAATTTCGTACAATCTGACCATAACATACATCTTCATCACGACAACGGGATGAATTTCAAGTCACCATTGTTTTTCCAAGGATTTTGAAATCTAGGCTTGGCTGCAATCATGTTCTCATGGGAAACTTCCACGAAACCATGAAAAACGCTTGTCTTGGATTTCATTTTGAAAAGCGCGCAGCGATGACATGTTTCTGTGCAAAACTTTCTTTCTTTCCCTTCTGTGGACCTGGAGTCACAGAAGCTTTAGCAAAGCTCAAAAACATTTTCACCCAATTATTTTTTTCATTTTAGAATGCTGACGACGGCAGGACGGCGTTTGTCGCGTGTCGCCGTCTCTCCGCGTCCGCGGATGCGGAACTACACACTTGGCAATATGCCACCACCTCCAGCTGTAAATATACGCACTCATGATATGATTTCCCCGCAGGAACGGAGGTTTGTCCTTGATGAAAAAGAAAAGGCAAAGGCATACCGTGATCCATTGCAGGTTCCTTGAGGCAGCTGAGCGAGGTGACAAACCAACAATACAGGAATGCCTGCTCACGGTAAGGATACGGTACCCATTTAAGGTTTCTCTGCCCATATCAATGCATAACGAGTCAGTCTTTTTCATTTGCAGAGAGAGGGAGAAACACCGCTGAACGTCAACTGCCTCGATTCTATGGGTCGTTCAGCTCTGGAAATTGCTGTTGACAACGAGAACATCGAGGTATGGTGTAAAAATAAAAAAATTTTAAGCTCCATCTTGTGCTGGGAGCATCCCGAATCTGCTCGGACAAGCGTCAATTACGCAGTTTCATGACTTCTCACTTATTTTTTTCTTTGTTTCTTCTCATCTCTTTCCTCCAAAGCAGCTCACTAAGAAATAAAACTCAGTGAACCTTAGTGAAAAACAAAGTGAACTATGTATGTGTAAATTCACCAAGTGAAATTAGGGAAATTCATTGATACTTATGTTTTTTGAAGTTCTGAACCAGAGCTCTATGTCAGTGCGAGTGTAAAAATTTGATGTCCAGGTAACTAGCATATTGAACTTACGTCGATCTTTAGGTTGTCGATCTTCTCCTCAGGCATCCAGACATTCGTATAGGCAATGCTCTACTTTGCGCTATTCGTGAAGGTAT